CGGCTAGATGCCACCCTTTCACTCTATTTATTAAGGTGACATAGATTATGTAACAACCACAGTCTCAGACTGAGATTTGCCCTCCAGACTAATGGATTTCCTGCTCCACTTCTAATCATATTGGGGGGACACGACTTCCCTAGTGAAATTAATCAAAGGTGCACTTGGACAAAAGCAGTTTAGTCAGAAAACACTGTGGATTCTGTGTCTCATATATTCAATAAGATGGAAATAAACTGTCTTCAGTGATATTAATTTCATCAAAACAGTTTTTAGGTAATTAAACGATCTACATGGTGACCTTAATTAGCCATTAAACAGTAAGAGACCTTAAAGCCATCAGTACAGTGGTACTCAGCCACAGAGTAAATGGGAGCTCTCCGGTGTTGGCTCTTTGTTTCTTCCCACCCTTATAGGTAAGGGTGGCAGAATGCTTGACTCAGGCAAGAGTTCACATAGATTTCCCTCCCACCCATGCGAATCCTGAAGTGTGTTATGCTTTTCCTACTTGTTGGGCTGCATGGAGCATATAAGGAGTTGGTCATTCTGGCCCCTGCGTTCAATATCTCAGGCTCCTCAGGGACACGGTGTCCTGGCTGCACCAGGTCTCAGGCTGCCTCAGGGATTCAAACAACAGATAAACAGCTAATTGCAGGCCCTGGCATGCAGGAGAGAAGCACCTGGCAAGAGGAGGTTTGTTTCACGGCCATTTACAGAGTGTGTCTCTTGTCACTGAGGAATCAGCTCGGAAAAGAACGGTATGGCCTCCCTCTGTCTGGGTAGAAAGGCTTGAAGAGGCAGACCCAAGCAGACGATTGCACACATAAGGGCACACAGCACAGCTGCAGTTTCAGGAGCAGGTGCCCAAGGATAGGCTCTCGGCTGCCCAGCTCCAAGAAAGAAGTGTGGATCAGAGAGTGGAATGAAAGCTCTAGCAAGAGAGGGTGGTCCCCTGGGCTGGTGCAGGGGGGCACATATGGGGAGCTCACGGGTTTATTTAGGAGATCAAATTCATTAGAGGGCAGCATGGCATAAGGCTGACTTCGGTCTCTGAGGAAGATGCCAAGCCCAGGGCATGGAAGAGCTAGAGTAACAATAGGAAAACATACGAGCCCCAAATTCTCTTAAGGTCCCTAGTGAGCAAGGGGCAGCTTTCTCTACCTGTGCAGAACCTGACTGTGTCAACCACCATCACCCCACCCTGGGGGCCGGGTGGGCAACAAATGGCCCGAAAAGCTCTGGACCAAGTTTGAAGGCACTGGGGTAAACAGGAATGAGTCTGTAGGGTATGCCATGGTGCTGAGTATTCTAAAAGCAAAACCAAACTCACTCGTATTGAGTCAATTCCCATTCATAGAACTACCCTTGTGGGTTTCTGAGACTGTAAACCTTCACAGAAGTAGAAGGCCTCATTTTTCTCCCTTGGCGTGGCTGGTAGCTTCAAACTGCTGACCTTGTGCTTAGCAGCCCAACACATATGATACACCACCAGAGCACTGTACATAGATTTCAAATTCTGGCTTTGAACTGTTAGCAGAAATGTCAGCCCACT